CAAGACTCATACTCTATGCCAGTGCGTGCGTACTTACGTCCTTAGCGCGCGCCTGCCAGTGGATCCTTTTGGGAGGGCCTCTAAGGACAGTCCCGGGGCTCTGTGGGTCGCCTCTGGGTGGCCTCGCGTGCTTTCGATCGTTCTCGGTGGAAGTTCGAGGAAGGCTTAGAGACCCACTTGTGGCTCGCGTGATCCGCCGGGCTCGATGCGCGCGCCGGTTGCTTGGATCTGTTCAGCTCCGAGGTAGATCGGGCGGTGCCCCGCGCAAAACAACAGATAATCAGCGCGGGCGCTGGCGCGAGGTTTTCGCGAGCAGGTAGACGTGCAGCTTTGCGCGGCGCTCGCGTTCACCCCGTGGCTGTTCGGGCCCCCTCTTGTTGCGGGTCCGTTGCGCAGGCCAGTCGCAGGCCGACCGCCCGCCAGCAAAATGGGGAAATGTCGGCAGCCTGCCCCGTGGAAAACCCCGCCAGCACGTGAGCGCCGCGCCCCCGCTGAGGCCCCGGAGATCGCATGGCAATGGCTTGATGGGGCCCACCATCCTTCAGGGGGCGAGCCGTTGAAGTGAGTGTCTGGCGTGATTTGACATGGATGAGGTTCGATGGCCATGGGGGTGCTCGGGCATTGGCGCGGGCGCCCGCGGGAGTTGGGCGGTGACTGGGGGAGTTGGGGCGCGCGTGGGGACGTTCGCGCGAGTTCTGGATCGCGGAGAAGGGCGATGTTGACATGGGGAACGTCGGAGCCGCATGGGGGAGTTGAACGGCCGCGGGTGGCGTTGGGCCGACGGGCAGGGTTAGTAGGGGCGCGATCCGATTCCGCAGGCACCACCCTCTCCCTTGCGCCTCGCGCCCACGGTGGCCACGGGCCATGGGTCCACCGACGGCCCGAGGACGCGACTGCCGGTAAACCTTCCCCACGTCTACTCAACTGTTCCCGTGTGCCGTCCTGCTTCCCGCCGGTCGCGGAACCTCCTCCGCGCGCTCGCCGCTTCCCCGGCGCCCGCGCAACCTCCCGACGCGCGGCCCGCACTCTTCGCCATCGCATGCCAAACTCCCCCAGGGCCTTCCACGCCTCGCTTGCGTTTTTGGCTTGACAACGCCTCGTGGATGGTGGATCTCTCCAAGCGGTGGCTCAACCGCTCGGGCCATCATGAGGTCGGTACTCGGCAGAGCACAGAACGCAAGGACTGCGCTACCGATGCAGCCTGATGGTATTTGGCGCGGTTCCGCTTGGCGCCACATCGCTGGGGCTTGAAAGCTGAGGCCAGCCATGCGCGCTGGAGCCGCGAGCGCAGTCGCAGCCTCTCGCTCGGTGTCCTGGCCGCTCGTTCTCGAGCCTCCTCCTTCGCAAAACCGAAGTGGGCGCGTCGTGCTCTCGACCAACCGTGTGGCCGCCGCGACCGTGTCGACCATATGAACAGAGTGATTTGTGACACGCGCCCCGCGCTCTCTCCCCAGCTCTCTCCGCTCGCGTATCCGCGCGCATGCTGCCTGCCACCGCGAACGCAGTGCGCCCTGCGAGCAGAGTGTCCAAAGAGTGCTCGGCGTGCGGCAAGGGCCATTGTGGCATCCACACCAGTGATGCCGTGGTTGCTCCAAGCTGCCCTGGCTCACGCATGGAGATCATCCTTAATTCGCCGAAGACCGGGGGTCGATATCTTGTCGCGCCTTGGTTGGGCGAGGGCAACGTCGTCCGTGATGAAACGAACCGCGCCCTGACACCCGTCTAAGCTCATTCGACCCGCCATGGCTTCCGTTGCGACCATAGCAGCACGACAGCAGCGGCCGCTCATGGGGTAGCATGCGGCTGCGAAGCCGAGTGCGGCGTGATGATTGCTGTTCCGGAGCGCGGCTGTCTGGAGCTTGTTTGTTATGTTCCACGACATGCTTGCGCTGAAGGTCTCTTACTTCAGCTCTCAAAGACATAAGATCTGTGCGCACCACATTCTGATGGTCGCTTGGATTCCTTTTTTTTTGGGGGGGGGGAGGGGGGGGCTGCCACACCATCCGCTGGACCTGCGTGCCGCCGTGGTCGCCGCTTCAGTGGCGCACTTCCTGGTCGCCGCTTAGATCCGTACGGACTCCCACGGGTGGCACGCTCTCCAATCGCCGCCTGGACGATTCTGCATTCCCATGGGTGGCGCACTTTCCGGTCGCCGTTCGGCTCCCTACGGATCCCTTTATTATGAATTGCCATGGGCAGAGCACTTTCGGGCCGCCACTTGGGTTCCGATGGGTTCCGACGGGTCCACTCGAGAAACGCACTTTCTGGTCGCCGCCGGGTTTCTGGCTGTTCGCGAGTCCGCCCGCCCCACGCAAACGCCCGAACGCAGACGTCACCTAGAAAACCCCAGGTGTCAGCTCAGGCAACCTGCCCTGGCGTCCGAAACAACAGGCCGCAGCGTGAGGCACGCTGCTTGGAGGCTACTTTCGTAACAACGGTAGAAACCTCGAAGCTGTCATACCCCTAATGAGGGCACGTGAAATATTTTGGGCCCGCCTCCTCTACAACGTCAGCCTGCTTCCGGAAACGTAGTTGCTCTCCGTGGAAAGGCCAGGAACCGCGCCCAGCTGGATTACATCACCGTGACCGTCGCCTGCCGCTTTCTGCCGCGTCCGCGCCGAAACTTGGACGATGGGTCGTGCTCTAGCGCGGCTGCGTCGCCGCAAGCATAGTGCAGCACTTTGGGTCATGAGCAGTGGTGGTTGACCCGGCGCTTGCCCGATAGGGTTGCCGATGTCTTTGTCCAGCCAATATGCACGGGGGTGGCCTGAAGGCCCCCAGCCGGCCCTTCACGCACCTCCTGCGGCAAGGGCAGGCAGCGCACAGGGCGACCTTCGGCCTGGCCCGCCAAGTGCGCTTGTGGTGGACTGCGGGGCCCGTCTGCCACTCGCGCACCGTCCATTCCATGAGCCACCGCCCGCGCTGCCTGAGTGCACCCCCCCCCCACGAGGCCAGGCATCGCTGCCTGGGAGCTGCCTGGGCACTCCCCACAAGCAAGCGCTGCCTGGGAGCTGCCTGGGTGCCTCCCTCGGGCCTAGGAAGCGCTGCCCACGGGCTGCATGGGCGCTGCGCGCAAGCCTAGCAGGCGCTACCTAGGCTTTGCCTGCGCACTCAACGCCAGAAGCGCGGAGGCCCCACGAGGCTGCCAACGCTGTGGTGAGACATCCCGCTTCGGTCGTGGCGCCGACGACGATGTCCGCCAGCTGCCTCGGGCGCTCCAGGACCGTCGGCGTCAGCCAACCGCCCCGTGCACCGGCGTGGCCTGCGACAGCGCCCCCCTGCGCTTGAGATCCCACCGGCATCCCCTCCATCCTCTCCTAGGGGACGACGCCCAGCCCCGTGATGGCGCTGAATACGGTCGGGAGCTTTTGCTCGGCTTGTCGCGGCGGCCGCCCTGGCGACACACTATGCCTTGCAAGCGGATAGCGTGTCGCTCCGCTCCGCGGGACGGGAAGCTCAGGAAAGCTCGGGACGTCGACCTCTGGGAACGGGGGCGCGGATAGCGTGTCGTGCCGAAGCATGGTGGGCCAGAACTGGCGTTGCGACACGCTCAGCCAGAGGGTGACGGGGAGGGCAACGAAGGTAAAGAGGAAGAGGAGGAGGAACAGAGAAGAGGAGGAGAGAGGAGTAGAGGATGCGATGAGGGGAGAGCGAACATGATGATGATAAGGAGGAGGAGGATGAGGATGATGAGGAGGAGGTTGAAGCGGAGTAAGAAGGAGAAGGTATGTAAGAGGATTAAGACAGTTTTCATGGGAACGGCGGAATGGCGGATAAATAAAGGGAAGGCCTCTTATCTTTCTCGGTCCTCCTCCTCCTCCCCCTTCTCTGTACCTCCAGGGGTCCATCCTGGCAAGATTTTGCATCACGTCTTGACTCTTGACTGCCTGGAAGCTGGAACCGGGCCCCCCTAGAGGTGTAGATCGAATAAAAACTTCTGGCGCGAACTCTGTCAACCCTCCCCCCTCCTCCTCCTCCTCCTCCTCCTCCTCCTCCTCCTCCTCCTCCTCCTCCTCCTCCTCCTCCTCCCCCCTCCGCCCTCCTCCGTCCACCTCCTCCTCCTCCTCCTTCTCGTCATCGTCAGCATCATCATCATCACCATCATCATCACCATCATCACTATCACCACCATCACCATCATCATCATTACCACCATCATCAGCATCATCAGTATCACCCTCCTTCTCATCAGAATTATCATCATCAACATCATCATAACCACCATCATCATAATCAGCATCGCCATCACGATCATCATCATCATCACCATCATCAAACTAATCATACGAAACATCACCATTACTATTACCACCATCCTCATCATCATCCTCATTATCATCACTATCATCATCATCATCATCATCATCATCATCATCATCATCATCTGTATCATCACCGTCACCATCACCACCATCATCATTGTCGCCATCATCATCACATCATCACTACCACCATCAGCAGCATAATCATCAGTAACACCCTTCTTCTCATAATCATCATCGCAGTCATCCTCATTATGATTTCCATCATCAGCATCATCATCACCATCATCATCATCATCATCATCATCGCCAACCTCAGCATCAACGTCAACATCAGCATCACCACCACCATCATCATCGTCACCACCACCACCATCCCCATCACCACCATCACCATCACTATCACCATCAACGTCACTACCATCACCATCACTATCACCATCAACATCACTACCATCATCATCATCATCATCATCATCATCGTCATCATCACCATCAACATCACCACCATCATCATCACCCTCTTCATCATCAGCAGCATCATCATCACCATCACTATCACCATCAACATCACTACCATCATCATCATCATCATCATCATCATCATCATCAACATCAACATCATCATCATCATCATCATCATCATCATCATCACAATCAGCATCTCCATCGTCGCCATCGTCACCACCATCACCATCATCATCCCTCCTCCTCCTCCTCGTCCTTCCCACGGGCGGCCGAGGCTCGAAGAAGCCCGGCCACGAGATCGCCTCCACCGCCGGGAGGGCAACGCGTCCTTGGGGGAACAGGAATCCACCGATATCGCAACTCCAGCGTTGCTTAGTTTTCGGTCGGGAATGTCCCCCTACAGGCGGATTTTGGGCGAAAGAATTCAGATAGTCAAAGTACTCCAGAATGATCAAACACATACAAAAAACCGTCCCCATACTATGCTGACTATTTTTTGAATATCCCCCTGTAGAGGGACATGTCAGACTCAGCACTACTCCAGCGTTGCTTAGTTGGGGGTTGGGGGCGACAAGTTGGGGGGGAGACGCATGCACCTTTCGTGCTCCTTTTGGGGGTCTTCAGGGCCCCTCTACAGCTGGGGCGTTGACCCAAGGAACCCTAAAAAAGGAACGGGCCCCCCTTTTCCCATAAGTGAAACTTCGATTTCCCATGGAAAACGCCAGGAAAGCCTGAGGCAAACTGTTGGACAATCAAAGAACTCCGAGCCCCTCCCCAACGAAAAGGGTTCCTTCTTCAGCGACCCGAATGTACCGCTAATCCAGCGTTGCTTAGTTGGGGGTTGGGGGCGCCAAGTTGGGTGGGGGGGGAGACGCATGCACCTTTCGTGCCCCTTTTGGGGCCCCTTCAGGGCCCCTCTAGGGCACAAAAGGTGCACCTTTCTTCCCCCTCACATTTCTCGCCTCCCTATTACGCAACGCTCGACGCTGCTTCCTGGACCAGGACTCTGGAGCGAACGCAGCCGTGGCGACGAGGGCCTCCCGGGCGTTGCTGCCCCGAGACGCAACACGCAAACATGCAGCGTGTTGATACGGAGCTCAACAAGCAGACTGCAGAACGTAGGCCTCGCGCAAACCGTTCGCCACAACGCGGGCCGACACGCCGAGCCGACACGCAACGTTCACCAAAACGTGGGCCCACACGCTCGCTAAACCGCTCGCCAAGACGTGGGCCCACACGGAAGGTCTCCCTGCGAGACGTTCGCCGAAACGTGGGCCAACACGCGGAGCCAGCACGCCACGAATTTGGCACGGACGCTCCGAGCACGGTGCGCGCTTCGCTCCCGCACGGGCGCAACGGCGCAGCCGGAGAGCTCCCGGGAGGGCCCCCGAAAAGGCGGCAGCAGGGCATGATCTTCGCCGCTGGCGGTCCGCCCTCGCCGCCCTGGGCCGGCAGCAGCTCCCTCAGGCCTCGGACCGCCTCCTTGAGGCCCTGGCGGGAGGGGAGGGCAAAGGCCTCCCAGACGGGGTCGGAGCGGATGGGGTCGGAGGGTCGCGCGGCATCGCCGATGCCTCGGCGAGGCATCGGCGATGCCGTGCGACAGGCCCAGGGTTCGGTCGGGCCTGTCTCCCTACAGGCGGATTTTGTGCGAAAAAAAAAACATGCCCCAGAAAGTAAAAGAACAGCCACGAATACTAAACAAGAATCGTCCCCAGACAATTTCATGATGATTTTTGAACCCCCAGACTGTTTTATGCCTATTTTTGAATATTCCTCCTGTCGAGGGAGGCCCGACTTAAAGCCTATCGCGGGGGGCCTGCAAGCCTCGCCGCCGCCCCCCCGCCGCCCCCCCGGACGCGTGGCGGCTCGTGCGCCACGCCGAGGCCGCGGACACTCTCGCGCGCAGGCCGGGGCATCTTTTTCGGAAGGGGCCCTGGGACACGCAAACCTGACCGGACAAGAACGGGAAGCGCCGCTTTAGTCCACCAAGCATGCGGAAAATGCTCTGTTGTTGTTATGCCGCGCAGGTATGCCGTGGCGCGCGTGTCGGCAAGCGTGCGGGGTGTGTTTCGCTGTGCTCCTGTGTGTTCTGCCGTGCTCCTGTTCTGCTGTTCTGCCGTGCCTCTGTGTGATCTGTGTGTTCTGCCGTGTTCCTGTATCTGCCGTGCGGATCGTCGCGGTGGTCGTTTTGGCAGAGCTTCTGGGCGCACACGGCAGAAAAAGATCAGGAGCACGGCAGAATAGGCCCCAAGAGCGAAGGAGCACGGCAGAGAAAGACAAGGAACACGGCAGAATAGACCCCAAGAGCAAATGAGTACGGCAGAATACACCCCAAAAGCTAAGGAGCACGGCAGAAAATGACCAGGAGCACGGCAGAATAGACCTCAAGAGTTAAGGAGCAGGCAGAAAAAGACCAGGAGCATGGCAGATTAGGCCCCAAGAGCGAAGGAGCACGGCAGAAAAAGACCAGGAGCACGGCAGAATAGACCCCAGGAGCTAAGGAGCAGGGCTGGATATGCCTCAAGTGCGAAGGAGTACGGCAGAGAAAGACCAGGAGCACGGCAGGATAGACCCCAAAAGCTAAGGAGCACGGCAGATAATGACCAGGAGCACGGCAGAATAGGCCCCAAGAGCGAAGGAGCACGGCAGAAAAAAAACATAAGCACGCCAGAGTAGACCCCGAGAGCTGAAGGAGTGCGGGAAAATAGACCCCAAGAGCGAAGGAGCAAACCAGAAAAAGACGAGGAGCACAGCAGAATAGAACCCAAGAGACAAGGAACACGGCAGAATATGCCCCAAGTGCGAAGGAGCACGGCAGAAAAAAAAGCAGGAGCACGGCAGACAAAGACCAGGAGCACAACATAATAGGCCCCATGAGCGAAGGAGCACGTCGGAAACAAACCAGGAGCATGGCAGAATAGACTCCAAGAGCTGCCGAGCACGGCAGAAAAAGACCAGGAGCACGGCAGAATAGACCCCAAGAGCTAAGAAGCACGGCATAATCGGCCCCAAGAGCGAAAAAGACGCCAGAAAAAGACCAGGAGCACGGCAGAAGATGCCCCAAGAGCTAATGACGACGGCAGAAAAGACCGAAACACAGCAGAAAAGGCCCGAGGAGCCAAGGAGTACGACAAAAAAGACCAGGAGCACGGCAGAATAGGCCCGAAGAGCGAAGGAGCAAACCAGAAAAAGACGAGGAGCACGGCAGAATAGAACCCAAGAGACAAGGAGCACGGCAGAAGATGCCCCAAGTGTGAAGAAGCACGGCAGAAAATGACAAGGAGCACGGCAGAATAGACCCCCAGAGCTCAGGGGCACGGCAGAAAAAGACCAGGAGCATGGCAGAATAGACCCCAGAGCTAAGGAGCACGGCAGAAAAAGACCAGGAGCACGGCAGAATAGGCCCCATGAGCGAAGGAGCACGGCAGAAAAAAACAGGATCACGGCAGAATAGACCCCAAGAGCTGAGGAGCACGGCAGAAGAGGCCCCAAGAGCGAAGGAACACGGCAGAAAAAAACAGGAGCACGGCAGAATAGACCCCAGGAGCTCGGGAGCATGGCAGAAGAGGCCCGAAGAGCGAAGGAGAACTGCCAAAAAAAGACCAGGAGCACGGCAGAGTAGACCCCAAGAGCTAAGGAAGACGGCAGAAAAAACACCAGGAGCACGGCAGAACAGGCCCGAAGAGCGAAGGAGTACGGCAGAAGAAGACCAGACGGCAGAGTACACCCCAAGCGCTAAATATAACGGCAGATAGATGCGGCAGAGGAGCGAAGGAGCATGACAAGAAGACGGTCCTCTCGTTCGGCTTTGGATAGACCCCAAGAGCGAAGGAGCACGGCAAATGAGGCCCCAGGAGCGAAGGATCATGATAAGAAAAAACAGGAGCACGACAGAATAGACCCCAAGAGCTGAGGAGCACGGCAGAATAGGCGCCAGGAAAGAAGGACCATTGCAAAACGCGGCCAGTGACCAGGAGCATGGCAGAATAGACCGCAAGAGCTAAAGAACACGGCAAGATCGATGCAATAATACGGCATAATACGCCCCAAGGAAGGAGTATGCAAGACAAAGACAAGGAGCACGGCAGAATAAACCCCGAAAGCGAAGGAGCACGGCATACTATGCCCCAAGAGCTAAAGACCACGGCAGAAAACGACCAGGAGCACGGCATCATACGCCCCAAGAACAAAGGATTGTGACAGAAAATGGCCAGGAGCATGGCAGAATAGGCCCGAAAAGCGAAGGAGCACGGCACAACAAAAAAAACAAGGAGCATTGCAGACTAGACCCCGTGAGCGAAGTAGCACGGCAGAACTGCTCATTCTTTGCCTTGCTCGTGTTTCGCCGACCATGCTCCGGCCGATTGTTTTGAGGATGTATGCAGCGGGATCGCGATTTTTAACACGAGAGGTAGTAAAAACGCCACTCCAAGATATCATTTGTGTTAACATGTCTCAGGCGAGACGCTAGTTTTTGAACATCTGTCGAATTCGCGGCTTCCCATGTTTAAGGGATGTCTCAGGCGAAACGCTCATTTTTGATGACATCGATGTTGTGAACATTTCATGTTTGTAAGGATGTCTCAAGCGAAATCGCCATTTTGGATCGTCTCGAGGGCGCTCCTGGGGGTCAGATTTGGGCTTGTTTGGGGCCTTTGGGGGCCTTCTTGATGCCTTACAAAACCGTTACAGTCCGATGTTACACACATTCATTTGTTCAGGATGTCCCTAGCGAAATCGTCATTTTTAGATGACTGGCTTAAGCCATCTAAAAGCCTTTTCAGGAGCGATCCCCAGACGATGTTAAACCGGCAGTTTTCAAAACGATGTTGTGTTCGATTTGTTTTTTTTGAAGATGTCCCTAGCGAAATCACTATTTTCAGCAACCTTATGGGCGCTCTTGGAGCCATGTTGTGGCCTTCTTTTGCTTCCTGATGCCCTCCTAAAATCATTACGATGCGATGTCGCACGCATCAATTGTTTGAGGATGTCCCTACCGAAATCGATATTTTTTGAAGGCTGCCTTGGGCCGTCTGGAAGCCTTTTCAGAAGCAATGTCAAAACTATGTAAGAACAACAGTTTTCAAGTCGATGCTGGTGTATGTGTTCACTTTTTGAGGATGTCCCTATCGAAATCGCTATTTTCGGAAATCCCCCAATCGTTCTGACAGCCATCTTGACGTGCTTTTTGGCCTCTTATTTCGTCATCTTGAGGTACTTCGAGAACGATATCAAGACGACGTTGAGGACATCTCATTTTGTTGAGGATGTCCCTAGCGAAATGCACATGTTCTGCCGCGCTCTTCGTTCTGGTCCGCCGTGCTGCCGCTCGTTTTCTGAGGATGTCCCTAGCGAAATCGCAATTCGTAACATAAGGGTTAGTTAAAGACTTCAGTCGTAATTTCATGTTTTCGAGGATGTCCCAAGCGAAACGCAAATTTTCACAGACGGCGAAACTTCGCTGTCATCAACTTTTCGAGGATGTCTCGAGCGAAACGCTGGTTTTTGGTAAACGCGATGTCGCGAAGATTTCATTTTTTGTGGATGTCTCACGCGAAATCGCCATCCCGAGGAATCCGCTAAGCCTGTATACCGTGCGCCCCGCCACCCCCTATAGTTAAGAGATCTCTTACTGATATGAAGAGGATTCAGCCAAAACGTTCAGCTCGCTTCTCGTTCCTCGTAGACGCTTCCCGTCATCCGCCGACCCTGTCGGCGTGTGGAAGATGCTTTTCCGTTCGTTCGTCGTGAACGTCGTCGTCGTCGTCGTTGTCGTCGTCGCCGTCGTCGTCGTCGTCGTCGTCGTCGTCGTCGTCGCCGTCCTCATCGTCGTCGTCGTCGTCGATGCTCTTCCGTTCGTCGTCGTCGTCGTCGTCGTCGTCGTCGTCGTCGTCGCCCTCCCCTCAGGCGCGCCAGCTAAAGCGAAACCAAAGCGAAATCGAGCAACGTCGTAGCTGAGTCGAAGGGAAGCCCCTTCCCTTTGATCCCTTTCCCGCAGGGGGTGGGGGGTGGGGGGTGGGGGTCCCGGGGGGGACGGGGGGCAGATACGCATCCCCCCCGGGATGTCCTGGGACCTAGACAAGCCCCCAGACTGGCCAAGAGTGCCCCAAGAGGCTTCCAAGACGGCTCCAGAGGGCCCCGACTCGTCGAACCATCGGTCGAAGACGCCAAAGTAGCCTCCCGACGGCCCAAGAGATTGCCAAGACGCTCCAAGAAGTCTCCAAGAGCACTCCCAAGAGGGCACGAAGAGGGACAAATCTATGTACTGTTTTTGACAGATTTTGGCGTTCTCGCCGTTTCAACTTGCCGACGCTCCAAGACGGCCCCTTGCCAAGATTGCCCCAAACTGGCCCAAGATGGCCCCGAGAGAGTCCCCGAGAGAGCCCCAGAGCCGAGAGACCCTTGAGAATAGCTCCAGATCGCCACCGCCGTCAACGTCGTCGTCGTCGGCCAAAGACGCTCCCGAGAAAGCCTCACGATTGCCAACAACG